CAATGGAATTTACAATTGCCCACACAGTTGGTCCCCACATTAGTTGTAATTATTGGCATCTAAGTGCACTCTATATAGGTGTTTTTCAAAATCGCAAAATTTGACTTTGGCAATAAATTATCGTAAATACATGATTGAACAATATCGAGGAGGGACCGAGTAACAGCAACCGCGTTATATGCATTGTAGATTGTAGGTACCTACAATTTATTGCTKATGTTGATTTTATATTATTTACTGTATGTGCTTTTTTTCTGTTATCCCTTTTTCGTGGAATTTCATCGCAGCAGTACTTGGGCTGACAAACTGCATAATAACATAATATATTGTGTGAATTGCATTTTACGAGTACTGCGAACAAACACGGTGTCAATCGATTAATAATTGCGCAGTTTGTGATAATATTATACCTACTTATTACTTACTATTGTTTTCCCGAGATGCTTTTGTCAGACGTTATCGCTACCATCGTAAAAAATAATWCAATATTCTGTGGTCAGACGTATATGTATTTATAGTAGTGTCTTGCGCACGCACGCACATTCTCTCATTTACAAATTTTTCTGGTGTATAATTTATCGTATGATATTATATCCCATAAGTTTTCGATCGTTTCTAATCATTTTTATTGAAAAATTATGTAAATCTGTGACGTCCCGGAGGCCACCGAAACGGCGTGTGTGTCGTACGTGATGTCGTATACGTCAATTGTTTCCGTAGGGCGTAGAGCGAATATTATAATAATATTATAATATAATACGTAAACTACGACGGCGACGTCCAAATATAAAGTCGATTTCTTTTCTATAGTATTTGTTTATAAAATCTTCTACGAATTACTTGAAAATTACCGCAAATTTAAACCATAATATTACAATTGAGAAYTTYCCTAGGTTTGCTAATAAAATAACCAATAGTTTAGGTTCCAGCGGAGCGATGAAAGTATTGATTTTATAACGATGTGTGTAATTTTCTTTTTTTGTATCTGTTAGCATATTTTTGAGCTGTAAAAWTKTTTAGATTTTCAACTTCAACATTTTTACTCGTAGGAAAATTACTAGAATTGATATTTTGAGGGGAGGGGATCAAAAGTAAAAAAAGCCTTGTTTCTAAATTAATAATTAATAAGAATTTGGTATTTTGGAAAMACCAAGTTTTTGAAAAAATCAATTTTTATTTCATTGTAACTTAAAAAACGAATAACGTACATAGGTACTTGAAATTTTTATTTTACACCAAATGTTATCATAAATATGATTTTCGGCTGGAAATAGTTTCAGTTTCTGACCGATTTCTCGCAAGGTTTTCGTTGKATTGGTTACTTATTAATARAAACTTATTTAAACTTATTCTTAAAGATTTTCCTTGTAGAGGAAAAATATTTATTAGCGTGRTATGATTTTTCTATAGATGTTKATATCAACATTCGAATGGTCAAAGATATTGATAATTTACTWTTAGGTTCCTCGTAAGTCATAAGTTATTATGAAAGAYACAAAACATGATTTTGTTCATAAACTTTTGATGTTAAAATGTCTTCAATAAGTCAAAATCACGATGATTTGCAAATCGTTTTGTAGGTTACAAATTATAAGATATTCAGTTTGTAAATCGCTAAGGTTTGAAAATGTAATATAAAGTTCCTCCTAACTCATAAGTAGTCTATTCTGAACCCAAAATATCTATTATTGCTAATATTTTTTTATTATATTGGAATTTGAAATTCAAATTGAACCAAATTAGATGTTTAAGCGTAGAATAACAATTTTAGTTATTTTGTTGTAAAAATATTATTTTTTATTATTTATTTGTGGTAACTTTTTTCGTATATATTACTTTATTGTTAT